GTGGTGGCCATGGCTGATGACGTCAAAAAGTCACCATACCTCTCGCTCTCTCTGTGTCTTGGGTAAACTGAATTGCCTGATATCTGTGCTGAGATCCCACGCTGGGACAGGGAGACTTTTTTTGGGGAGTCGGGGGTATGTCGTCTCGGCTTTGTTTGTTTATATTTCCCCTTTACTGTTAGCGCCGCTTTCTGAACGGGTTGGCTCCAGCCCCTCCCTCCACACTCTGCATGGGGTGGGGGCAGTTGCTGGAGTGGGAGCCGCGGGGCCACAGGCAAAAGTTTAAAATGCCAGTAATTCCTCAGTAGTGTGATTTTTCAAAAAAGCGAGTTCAGGACATTGAAGCACTAGGTTTTATTATAGTTCAAAGGCTGTTGGTCCACTACATGAAGGTTTCCTTCGTTAGATCCCCCTCCCTTCTCACCAGCGCTTCTCCTACCTTCGTCTTCTGGCTATAGTCCAGAACCAGAACCCAGTCCCCCATTTTTGATAGCAAATATCTAAGTTGCCCATCCCTATCAATCCAATGTACTAAGAAGACAAGCTTGATCCCTGATGTGAAGAATTCCCTCCATTTTTGTTGAAATTTTGAGCAGCTGCATCCATAAACAAAGGTCCAGTGCATCAAATTTTAGCAATTTATGCTTGTTCCCTGTATCAAACTTCTTTATCTGGCCATATTCTGGTCAATAGCCATCCTAGCTAGATCAAATCAGATGCAAGTTTGGGAATTCTTACATGCCTCCCCACACTTCAGACCAGCTGGCCACTTCACTCTCAACTCTAGACCCCAGTGGCTACCCCAGGGTCCATGGGATTGGGAGTTCACACAGTTCCCTAAACTTGAGACCAACCAGCCCTTACTCTTCTCTCTCTCACCTCAAGTTCAATGGGTGTCTATGAAACATGGCCAGACTCAGCCCATATCTTTATGGCTGCATTTCCCTCACTTCCACTCACAAGTAGAACAATGCAGTCACCAGCGAGCATACAGGACTGCTTGTGTGCTCCCGTTGAGTTTCAGTCTTAGGCTCAAGATTCCACCTAAAGTCCCATACTCCACAAAGGCCCATTTCCCTGCGCAAAATCAAGTTCCCCTTTTACTAATCTAATCAGTTATAGGCTGAAGATGGGTTTACAAGCTTTCTATAATCATATTTCCCAATATTCCTTTCTGTTACACTGGTGTTGCACTGTAGCTTAATGTGCTGGACTGCAAAGCCAGTTTGATCCACATGGTTGGTGGTTCAAGTTTACCAGCTACTCCTTGGAAACCCTGTACAGGGTCACTATGTGTTAGAACCAACTCGACGACACTTAACAACAACAATATCACACCTAAATATCTATTTTACAATAGATAGGGAACACCAAATGATTTAAAATCGAGGAAGGTGTGTACCAGAATTTTATTCATTCTGTATTGCTGAGACGCTGGATTGTATGAAGAAAAATGTAGCATCAGCATTGGAGGAAGACTCATTAATAACCTTCTATATGCCTTGCTTGCTGAAAGTGAAGAGAACTTAAAATACTTATGAAGATCAAAAACCACAGCCTTTGGTATGGGTTTCATCTCAATGTAAAGAAAACAAAAATTCTGGCCAATAAGCAACCTTCTAATCAGTGGAGAAAAGATTGAAGTTGTTCAAGACTTCATTTTGCTTGGATCAACCATCAACACCCATGGAAGCAGCACTCAAGAAGTCAAACGATGTATTACATTGGGCAAATCTGCTGCACAAGATCTCTGTAAAGTGTTTTAAGAGCAATGATGTCATTTTGTGAACTATCGTGCATCTGACCCAAGCCATGGTATTTTCAGTAACCTCATATGCATGCAAAATTTAGACAGTGAATAAGGAAGACCATGGAAGAATTTGAGCTATTGTGTTTGAGGAAAATATTCAAAGTACCATGGGCTGCCAAAAGAACAAATATACCTGTGTTGGAAGAAGTACATCCAGAGTGCTCCTTGTAAGCCAGGATGGCCAGACTTCATCTTTCATACATAGGACATATTGTCAGGAGGTACCAGTCACTGGAGAAGGATATCATGTTTGGTAAAGTGGAGGGTCTGAGAAAAAGAGGAAGACCCCCATCGAGATAGATTGGCACATGGTAGCAGCAATGGGTTCAAACATAGCAACGATTGTGAGGTTGGCCCAGGACTGGGCAGTGTTTCGTTCTGTTGTGTATTGAGTCACTTTGAGTTGATACTGACTCGATGGCACATAACAACAGCAACAAAAACAACAGGCAGGGGAAACCAATATCCACAAGACAGTCAAACACCTTACCATTATTTTCCCTCCTTTAGCCATTTAGAATATGTCTCGATCTGTGTATCACAGAACCCAATTGTTCCAAGGTTGTGTATATATCACTATTTATTTCTATCCCATTTAGCCCAGGCATACCTAAGTCTTTCCTTTTCTTCCTTTTTAATCTGCCCCCTTCCCCTTCTTGTGTTTGGCCTTCCTCCTCCTTGTACGTTGCCCTTCCCATCACACAAGCTATCGTGTGTCTACTCCCTCATCTGTGAATTACTGTCCCCTCCATCCCATCCCTGGTAACCATCAAAGAATTTTTCTTTTAGTATAGAAATATTTTCCTATGCTTTTATAATAATGGTCTGAAACAATATTTGTTCTTTTGTGATGGACTAACTTCACTGATGCTCTAGGATAAGCTCTCACTCAACCTCAAGGTCAGTTTGAACTGCAAGGTCAGTGGTTCAAACTCACCAGCCACTTCTCAGAAACCCCATAGAGGGTTGCTATGAGTCGGAACCAACTCGATGGTACATAACAACAACAAAAATTTCACTGAGCTCAATGTTCTCAAGGTTCATCCATGTTATGAAGTATTTTGCAGCTTCATCATTATTCTTCAAGGTAGCATCATTTTCTATCATGTATATGTAGTACCAAAATTTGTTTATCCATTCTTCCACTGATGGGCATTTGGCTGTCTCCATATTTTTGCTATTGTGAATTGTGCTGTGATGAATATTAATGTACATATATCTACTCATGTTCTGGCTCATAATTCTTGTGGATATATACCAAGTAGAAGAATTGCTGGATTATAAGTTATTTCTATTTACAACTTTCTGAGGAAGTGCCATACCATTTTCCAGAGTGGTTGAACCATTTTACAGTTCCACCAGCAATATAGGAGCTTTACAATCTCTCCACACCCTAACCATCATTTGTTGTCCTCTGCTGTGTTGAACGTGTTTGCTGTTAATGCTGGTGTGAGAGGATATCTCATTGTTGTTTTGATTTGCAACTCTAAGCAGCTCTGGTAGCGTTGTTGTTGTTGTTAAGTGCCATTGAGTCGGTTCCAACCCATAGCGACCCTGTACAGGGTTTCCAAGGCTGTAAACTTTACGGGAGCAGAACACCTCATCTTTCTCCCACGGAGCGGCTGGTAGTTTCGAACTGCTGTCCTTAAGGTTCGCAGCCCAATTCGTAACCACTACACTACCAGACGAATTGTGCTGCAAACTGCAAGGTCAACAGTTCAAAACTACCAGCTGCTCTGCGGGAGAAAGTTGAGGCTTTCTGCTCCCGTAAAGATTTACAGCCTTGGAAACCCTGTTCAGGGTCACTATGGATCGGAACCGACTCGACTGCACTTAACAACAATAACAATGGCTAATAGAGTCCTGGTGTGGCGCTTTAGGTTTAGGTACTGAACTATAAGGTCAGTTTGAACCAAAAGGCCAGCAGTTAAAGCTTACCAGTCACTCCTCAGAAACCCTATACAGGGTCAATGCTTCCAGGATTCTTTCTCGTAGTCTTTGATTTTGGAAAGTTTGATTATGGCATTTCTTGATAGTTTTCTTTTGGGGTCTATCCTGCCTGGGGTTTATTCAGCTTCTTGAATGCTTAATTCTTGTTTTTCAAGATGTTAGATGTTCTTCCAGCTGATCTTCAGTGATCTTTTCTGTGGTTTTCATTTTCTTTTCCTGTTATAGAATTCTGATCACCCATAGAGAGTAGTCCCCTTCATGTTATCCCACATAAATCTTAGACTTTCTTCAGAATTTTCATTATTTTTCTGCTTCTTCATCTGTCTTAGCAATATTCAGAGATTTATCTTCAAACAATAATTCTGGCTTTCATCCCTTAATCCTACTCCTTTGTTCTATCAGCATATTGTCCATATCTGATATTTTAGTTTGATCATCTGGACCTTTGTTTTGAAGGTTTTGTATTGTCTCTAATACTATGTTTGAGGTTTTTTTTCTTTTTAATGTTTTATTGAGAATTATGTGATAGTTTACATGGGAGAACATTAGTTTTACATTCATTCCATTGTATATCATTTCATTGCTATGCTTACAGTCCCCTCCATGCATCATCAACCAACTAAAGGGGATATCCTACAAGCCTGCCCTCCCATCGTCAGCACACAGCCCCTCTCCTTCTCTGGGTCTAAAGTCTCCAGTCGCTCCATCTTTCCATGTCATCCTGTCTGTCTCCATCTCTGGCATCTCTGCTTCTCTGTGTAGGGTCCCGTTCTCTGTTCTTCTCCCTGATGGGCCCAGCGACCTCTGCTCCTAGACTGCAAAGTTAATCACTCCCCCCCTTGCTACAAAACGTATACCTTTACATTTCCAACCCTCACAATCAGTCCTGATAACAATTATTCACTATTGTATTACAAGACACCTATCCATATTTCCTTTCATCAGTCCTGCCTAGAAGGACTGGACACTACTCACTGGAGATTCTACCTTCTTCCATGCCTTCTGGATCTAGGTTCCCTCCTGAAAGCTTGTAAGCCAGTCACTTCTTGCCTTTGAAGCCTCCCCCCCCCCCACACACACACACCATTTTGTGTAGCCAATGTTCAAGATGCCTATCTCTGTCTACTCTGTGTATAGAGGGGGTGGGAATGATCCTTGCTGTAAGGATTTGTTCCCTCTTTTGAGCTACTGCATCCATAGGTGTAGGTCAAGTTCATCAAATTGTATCAGATTACTCTTTTTTCCCCCCT